ATTCATGTCAAAGTCAAATAGTTGACTCGTGTATATTGACTAAATAATTAATCTGGGTTACTTTGGCCCATGTTATTTATTTTAGTTAGACTCATTTAATTATTAATAAAGTCCATCGAATTGGATTTAAATAGAATTTAAATGGGTTATTCATAAAATGAGGTGAAAATGGATATGAGGCTCATTTAATGGTCACCTTGAAACCCTAGCTTGATAGAACTCGATAAATAGAACTCTCCTCCCTCATTTCACACACATGAAAAATTTAGAGATAAACCTAGAGTAAACAAGGAGATAAAAAAAAAGGAGATCAAAATACAGAGAAAGTCTCTCGTATACTCAAAACCTTTCCAAAGAAAACATCTCATCAAATACTCTAAACTTATCCAATGAAATACTCTCAAAACCTAGAAGAAGAAGAACAAGTATTCAACGTGCCGTTGTACTCTAGATTATCACCCGTGGAAGAGATCAAGCCTCGACGACCCTCGACACGAAGGAAAGAAGGAATTCAAATCATCAAGAACCAGTTCAACCTCTACATCAAATAGTCATTGATCAAGATCAAGCCTTGTCGACCCTCAATCAAGAACCCAAGTCAAAGTTCTACATCCATGTCTTTGATCGAGATCAAGCCTCGACGACCCTCAGTCAAGAGTCAACTCAGCCCATGAAACAAGTTAAAGATAAAGTGGAGATCGAATCAAAGGAGCAAATTAAAGATTGTATCCAAAATTAATTATCAAATTAATAAAATTAAGATTTTGTTGCCTTTGTTTTGAATCTATATATTTGCAGATTTAAAATTTGTGTTTTACAATGATATTATCATATTATGATAATAATATAATATCTATTTTCACTTTTTGAGTAGGTAAAGGTACTAATAAAAAAAGGTTAATAAACAAATAATAATAATATGTATAGCAAAATCATAAAAGCTACCCCATACGACCTAATATATGACCAAGGGCGGAGCCAAGAGGGGGCTGGCAGGGGTCTTGGCCTCCCCCTTGGCTCAAGATATTAATTAAATTTGCTCTTCATTGTCGTTGATTTTGGTGTAGAGGAATTGGTTTTTTTCCATGTGACAGTATGCAAGTTGTCAAGGGATCAAATCTTGTAGCTACCAAAATTTGTTTTATTTTTTTAAGTAAATGTAATACGCAGGTATAATCTTGACCACCCTCACTTGGAAATTCTGGCTCCGCCACTGTATATAACAACATAATAATAAAATAGATTTACAAAAAAAAGCCAAATTTGGTACTATATTTTATGTTTACTTGGTTACTATCTTTATGATCTACTTCATCCGTCTCAAATTAGTTTGACATTTTTTTTCTTAATAATGCCTAAACCAAAAGCCAACAACAAAATGCAAATATAGATTCCAATAGTCAGAAATCCTTACTAATGGGGTTGTTTGGAATTGCCTCTCTAATTGAGATTTTCATCAAATAGTTAATTGCATTACATATTTACTTCACCACCGATTTCTAAGTTAGAGAATTTAAAAATAAATAAATAATTTAAGTTAAATGATACTCGACTCAAAACAATTTTTTACTTTATAGCGAGAGTTGCACACAGGGTAACATACATATGGATTCAATCTAAGATAAGTTATCCAATTGGGGGGAGGTACTTGATCACAGTCGAACATTGTGTTTTAATTAGACCTTGAGTAAATGAAAGAGAATGAAAGATCAAAATTGATAACATTAGAGCACTCACATCAGTGAGCATTTTTTTTGCTCATGAGCAAAAATGGTGAGCAAATTTGTTAAAAATGGTTCCCCATCAATGAGCATATTGAAAAATGCTCATGAGCATTTCTGATTTTGCTCATCCTACGAGCAAATTTGAGGATGAACAGTAACTACGTGGGGCCCAACAACTCTCTAATGTCCTTGTCAGCTCCTTCCTCCAATCAGCAAATATTACCGTTTTTAAACGGTAATTAATTTAAAACGGCTATTTTGGCCGATTTATAATTATAAAAAAAATTCATCAACGGTTATAATTTTTTTTTCTCTACAAATAGAGATCCATTTTGACATATTTTGGTATAATTTCAAAAATCACAAAAAACACTATATTATTCTTACTCCCATTTCTAGTGAGATTTATGATTTATAATTGTTTATTAGCGATTAAAATTTCAATATTATTAATTAATATTTAATAATTATATTAAGTTAAATAATAGTATAATTGTAATTAGTAGTACTAAAACTTCATTTAACCAAAACATAATTAATAATAATATGGTGATATGTAAAAGAGAGAAATGTTGGTGGGGTATGTGAAAAAGTAGGAGAGAGATTGATGAACATTTTTTTTTTGCTCACTAGTGGGATAAAATTTGCTCACAAAAAATGCTCATGGTTGGCAAGAGAGAGAAAGTGGCTAGAGAGAGAATGAGCAAATTTTTTTTTCTCACTAGTGTGAGTGCTCTTATAAGTAATAATATAAAAGGAAAAAACATATTGGACATTTGATGTGTATGTTCCTGTGATTGCTCTATAACCACCTCTTCTCTACCTTTGTTAGCTTTCCCAAATTAAATCCAAAATTTTCTTTTTTCCGTTTTAGTTCGACTGGTTCTTGGAATAATGTTATGGCATTGTTTGCTATCCTATGGGGTATTTAGCCATCCTGAAATCAGTTGAGATTTAGACCGGCGATTTAGTTGCTTGGGATAATTGATAGTTTGGCGAAGGATTGGTTCCACCATTGTGTTCAGGCTCAGGAGTTGAGGAATTCTTTTTTGGGGGGACTGTTCGGTTTGTTTGCCGAAGGTGGCGGCCATTCTGTGGCGTTGCTTTTAGAGGTTACCTAGTATTAACCCGACGGCTTGTTTGACTGTGGACGGGGCTTGGGACTGTTCCACTAATAGGGTTGGAGCAGGTTGGGTTACTATGATCTTTGTTCTTCATAGTATCTAGGTGGTGGGAGTCATGCCTTTATGGCTGGGTTAGCGTCACATTCTGAGCTCCAAGCCTGTTTGTGGAGGCTACAGTTTGCTATTCGTAACGGATTCTTGAAGATCCGGATTTATATCGATTGTGCGACCCTCCTTTCTTTCCTTTATGTTTCAGGTTCAATGGATTTTCAGTTTGGTGGCTCATTCAGGAATTACGGATGTTGGTTTATTCCCTATCGGTGTGTCAAGTTCGTAAAGTTCCTCGAGGTTGGGTTACCCCGAGTCACTGGTTAGTTGGTTGTGCTTGGCGTAGGCAATTGTTTTTTCAGTTTTAGTTCTTCCTTTGCTAGCTCTTTTGTCAAAAAAAAAATCCAAACTTTCACCACCAACTACAACTAGAGGTGGGCATGGGCCGCGGGCGGCATGAGCATGACACGGTGGTGGCCCATTCCGACACGATCCCACTAGTGGCACGACACGATGAATCGAGCTGAGGAGTGGGCCGTGGGCTGTGCCGTGAACACAATTTTTAAAAATCGGCATAAGCACGGTGGATGGCATAGTAATTTGGCCCGCTAGCATGGCAAGAGGCACGCCACGGGCCGTGCAAACGACTATATTTTGTTGCTTCCAACATCCATAAAACAGTTTTACTAAAGAAGTAAAAGAACTATAATAATAATATCAAAATTAATAATATAATAATACAAAAAATAAATTAATAACATTATTTAAATATACTCATTTTAAAAGTTAAAATAAATTTATATATTGATTTTGATAAAATTAAAAATTCTGGGCCTGACACGTCAGACACATCGGTCGTGCCGTGCTCTGGGCTAGGGTGTGCCAAATGGTGGCCTGGCATCGCACGACCCGCCAAGTTGTAGGCACGACACGGCCTGCAGTGGCCCCGCACAACACGTTGCCCACCTCTAACTACAACTTTAGCCTCCTTAATATAATCCCACAAATGCTACTTTAGATGTGTTGCCAAGCTATCTATAATCTTTTACGCCCTCCTTTGCACATAACCTTATATACACCATTACAAATCGCCTCTAACTACCTTCAATCTTTCATCCACCTCCCTCAAACCCACCAACAAAACGCTATTGTTGCAAACTTTGCCCTTCTTCATTTATTCATTTTTTTTTTGCCTTGGTTAAATTATTAACAGACACCCTTACTCATAAAGCCTAGAGCAGAGTCAAAGTGGAATGCAAGAAAATCAAAGCTAATGACTTCTCAGTATTTATTATAGGTATGTTGTTAATTGCAAGTTTGCAACAAGGGGGGTGTTAGGTAAATGAAGATTAAGAAAAGTACTTTAGAGGGTATTATGAGATCAAACTTCGAGATATTGATCATGCTCTTAATATTTGAAAGTAAAATACTAGTGTATGGATTTTTTATTTATTTATTTATTTTTTTTGGTATGAAGTGGGCGTGCCAAACTATATTTCGTTCATGTATGTGTAGAATCGTTCTCTCCATTGAGAATTAGGCCATGCTCTTTTGAGCTTATGAGTAGAGCAAGTGTTAGCAAAGTAAGGCTCTAGAGAGTAGATTTTAGCAGAGACAACAGATTATAGTAAAGTAGAGTAGACTACAACAACTCAAAAAAACTGGATCTAAGGCCCTGTTTTCATTAGATTATTTTCAGTTCAATTCAGCTCTAATAAGTTCAGTTTAGTTAGTTCAGCTCCTACTTTTCTTCTCTCATAAAATATTCAGTTCAACTCTAATAAGTTCAGTTTAACAAAGTTCAATCAATGGGAACATGTCTTAAATGTATCAATCTACAGATAATTATGGCCCTGAAATGTAATGACTACCCCACTATTGTAATTGGTTCAATATAAAATTTTCAAAGTAAATTCTTGTTTTGATTATTCTGTAAAACTCTTCCCGCTTATACTCCTCAATTCAAAACCAACCAATTAGTCAAAAACACATTTTCTAAACACTTGTCCTAACTCCTAAGATTAGTGACAATTAGTTGGGCTTGTTTGTACACTAAAATTCAAGCCTCAATCAATTTGGACATCAATTTTCACAAATCCCAAACTCCTACAAAAATCATCATTATGACATTATTACATTATAGAGCCCAATCCAAAGTAATTAAGCACGTTATATTATTCATCATCTTCCTAATACACGAAGTTTCTACACTCCTCTCATGGACAACCTTACAAGTATGACAATCAACTTTCTTTCTCTCTCCTAAAATCTCCCCATTTCCTAAGAACTTTCCAGAACAATCCAGGTCTCACCTTCTTCTTCCTTTAGATTCAATTTCCCCATTTTTATTAAATCTCGAAAAAACCTTATTAAATCAAGAATCTCTGTTTTTTTTCTTTCTCACAGGCATTTCATCAAACACTTAGTGTGCATCAATGGCGGACAACGGCGTTGTACTTTTTTACGATGGAACCATTGTCACCACCGACACCAACAAAAACACAAACCCTTTTTCGATCAAAGTCGGATTAACCCAGATGCTTCGCGGCGGCGTAATCGTCGAAGTCTCCGATCCACGGCAAGCTAAAATCGCTGAAAGTGCAGGAGCTTGCTGCATTTCTGTCGCCGGAGATCAAAAGGGTATCGGAAGAATGTCAGACCCATCTGTAATCAAAGAGATTAAACGCACCGTTTCGATTCCCGTCATCGCTAAATCTCGGGTCGGGCATTTTGTCGAAGCCCAGATTCTTGAATCAATTGGATCCGATTACATCGATGAAAATGAGCTCTTATCAATTGCAGATGAAGATCATTTCATCAACAAACACAATTTTAGGGTCCCATTTGTTTGTGGGTCGAGAGATTTGGGTGAAGCTTTGAGAAGAATTCGAGAAGGTTCTGCTATGATTCGGACTCAAGGGGATTTATCTGGGTCTGGTAATATTGTGCAAACTGTAAGAAATGTTAGGCAAATAATGGGTAATATTAGGGTATTGAATAATATGGATGATGATGAAGTTTTCACCTTTGCTAAGAAAACTGGGGCTCCTTACGATTTGGTTGCTCAAACTAAGCAAATGGGTCGGCTTCCGGTTGTTCATTTCGCTTCCGGTGGGATTGTTACTCCTGCTGATGCTGCCCTGATGATGCAATTGGGGTGTGATGGGGTGTTCATTGGAGGTGAGGTTTTCGATGGGTCGGACCCGTTTAAGCGTGTTCGGGCGATTGTGGAGGCGGTCAGGAACTATAATGATCCGGCTGTGTTGGCCGAGGCGTGTTCCGGGTTGAGTGGTGCAATGGCGAGGATGAATATCAATGATGATAACAGGGTGGTTGAAGTTTGAAAGAATGGAAGGTATCTTGTTCTGACTTTATTGATCAAGAGTTGAGATATGTTATGCTAGAATTCATAGATGTTGATCTTGTTGACTTGTTTGATGTTGTTATAGAAAAATATGTGGTTTCATGAGACATGAATCATGTTGTAGTTGTGTTGTGTACTTGGTTATGTACTTGAGACTGTTTGTTGTAATATGAGGAAATATAGAGATATGAATGAATAAAATAGTTACTCTTTGTGTATGTTGCTGTCTTTGTCTTTGTTCTTGTTCAATTGTCTTTTGCTGAAACTTATATTACTTAGTTACTTACTCAGAAAGGATTTGTTTCGTGGTGCAATTTTTATCATTGGAATGTGTGTGCAAAGAATATATGGTTAGTTTTCAGATACAGGCTCATCTCAAAAATTTGAGCCATGTTGGAGCCCCTTTGATTTCTAAATCTTACCCTTGCATAGATTTTCTAATAGTGTTGCCATTATATAATGTCCTTAGGCATCTCCTAGATCAATTAGAGTATCGGGGAACGGGGGTTGTCCTACTTTCATTATGGTTAGCCCACCAATAACATTTCCACCCCATTGCGGGGTGGGGGATAGGGAGGCGAGATTGTCCTAATCTCATCATGTCAGTACTAATAACATCTTTACCCCATCCAGTTGGGTGGTTGGGGGGTAAGGAGCAGTCCTATTCCCATGGTCAGTTTACAATAGCTAAAATGTATAAATTAGCTTGTTTCAATAAAAATAGTGTAACATAAACAAATCTAAGCTGAAGATCTTTGCAATACTACTGGATCTATATTTTAGAGGCTAGAGATACTAAAGATTGTGTCTGTCAAAGTGTCAATCAATGATTTACTGTATTCCGCTTTGCAATGAGGGTTGGTGATAGTTTTACTAACAATTTGATCATACAAGTCAAGAATGTGTGGGTTTTTTTTTCTTGTCCGTGATGACCAATTTGATGTTGAAGTGATTTTAAAAGGATTTACTGATGATGCAATGATGAAGCTTAGGGCCTGTTCTCTTCCGTTGAAGTGAAGTGAAGTTCAGCTCAGCTCAACTCTTAATTTACGTCTAATGATATTGCTAATGATATAAAGTCAAATTTCATTCTTTTAAGCTCTTATTACAACGATAATAATAATAATAATAATAATAATAATAATCATCAATAAATAATAATAATAATAATAATAATAACAATAATAATAATAATAATCAATAAATAATAATAATCATCAATAAATAATCAATAAATAATCAAAGATCACTAATCCGTAGTTAAAAATCACTAATTAATAAGTTCAGTTCAGTTCAGCCGAGTTCAGTCAATCGGAACAGGCCCTTAGAAGAGTTGTGCTGAAAAGTATTGGCGGGTGAAATCAATTGTTGGTTCGGTGACCCTGGTTTTGGTAAATAGTTGTTGTAAACGGATTTATTCAGCATGGAGTAATATTAGTGATTTTGAAATTCTAAATTTTTATGAAATTAAAAACACTCAAATCTAGTAAGATGTAGAAATATAATTTTCTTTCCTCCTATATGATTAATTGTGATTTATGACTGTTTTAGGCTACTATATTTCAAGCACTTATAGTAGTCGTTTTAGCTGTGTTAATACTTGGCAATAATCTCATGCATTGTTTGTAAGTAGATTTCCTAATCCCCTATGGGCAGTGGCAGCAGATCCTGAACCGAGTGAATTCTAGGTTGAGCCAGACTGCCAGTATACATCCGACTTTCCTTTACCCTGGCTGTCTTAAGATCGAGCTTGTGCAGGAGCATATTAGAAGAATTAAGATAATGTTGGTATTCTGTATGCTGTCTCTCGTGTAACTTTATGAGTTTTGACAGGTTGGCATTTTTAATGCAAATGCCACATAGCTAGGTGATAATACCATTTACCCACTGAATTGATCATGTATTCTTCATTTCTGCTTCACAGCTTACCTGTTTTGAGTGCAAAGAGAGGGTGTTTCGAGTGCAAAGGGATGGTAGAGGTTGTGTAAGCATTGATGCTGTCAAAATGTCAAGCTTATGTGTCTGGGAAGTTATAATGGCCTTGTATTTGAGATAAATGTACTTGTCAGCCTTGTGGCATCTCTTTCTTATCCTATTTACACATGTTTTATCTTACTCTGTATATGGTGTGAGAGTAAGCCTATTGGGATTAAAGTAAAGTTGCTGTTATGCTTTCCCTGTAACACGCGCTGCAAAACCCTTTGATGATGAACTTAAAGATTGATGTTTTGCTTATGCTCAGTTAACTCTCTACCTGTTTATTGGGCATCTGATCTTGCTGATAGCTTCACTACACTCTCCCACTCCCCCCTCTTTTTTAGTATGTAGGAGTAACTTGGTACAGCTTACTGTCTGTAGGTGACGACAACTTTTTAAACCAATAAGAGCTGGTGGCATGTTTTGTTTAGATCTAGTCTAGAAACATTAGTTGCTATTGGTTTCGCCTCATCATAAGAAACCTGCGAAAGCTCAAGGTAGTATTATCTTCTAACTACAAGGTGCAGATATGCAGCATGATAAATCAGATTCAGTTAGTCAGTGCCCTTCGTTACACGACTCCTGAAAAAAATAAATCCAAACTCTAAGTTTCAATAAGTACTTGGGACAGTAGGATCTCTAATATTTTGTAACTTGCTACAAGCTCAGTAGAGTAGTACTCAGAAGTTTGTCCTAAGCGAGTATATCCACTGTGCTGATCAACCCAGAAAAATTCTATAACATGGGTAGTTCTGCATCTTATTATGCACAAGCTGACAAGCTTATTTATTTGTAGTTTCAAAGTCTTGTGGAAAAGAGATCTATTTTGACACACCTTGGACCATGTCCTTGTAGATTTGATAAATGCAACTCATGCCCTAGATAATAAGTTGACGATTGTACACCTCTTACATTATTGTTATTGTCTCATGTATTATTACGACATTATTTAAGAGTGTCTCTCAAAAGCATTTAATAATTTGATATCTATCATTGTATTAATTGACGTGTGATTTTGAAATTATATTGAATTGTTAATCCTAAGAATTTAATCATTTTAAAAAAATATATATTTTAGTGACACTTGTTTTAAGAACATCATAAAATTTTTGTACTCGTATTATAACGCAAGGCTGTTACAGAATTAAACGCGGTCTATCTAGGAAATTGGCCTCTGAATGGTTAGATAGTGTGGCCAACTTTAAGTGGTGAAGCAGAGGTTAAATGATGGTGTATTGATACCGGTGGATTTGCATGCAGTTTCAGCAGCAGCACATGGTCGAACTACTTCCGCCGAATTAAATACTCTCAATCAACAAAGGGTCTTGTTTTAGGCATTGGTTATGAGCATTTTGGTATTTTGTTTGGTAACTATATAGGTGCTAGTTACAATCTTTGATGATTATAGTACACAGTAGTATTTTATGAAGGATGCAATATGCAAGTGACAATCCATTGCAGTTGTTAGAATGAAGAATGATCAGCTTGCGTTTTAGAAGTGTCAACTTGAGACTATTATTACCTTGTTTATATATGTTTATTTAGGTGAGTCGAGCCAATTCCCCTGTTGTTATTTAATCAATCTATTACCGGATTGTAATAAGTTTAGTACAGTGTATGTTTTAGTCATCGTGAACTAGTTGGAACTTAGAAGTGCAAACTTTTGATACCCACATCAACTACCATTACGTCTTAAAAGCCATAATCTCAAGCTCACCTAATAATTTACGTGACACTTCAAGTCTTTAACGAACCAACCATCAAAAGGATGTTGAGTGTCCTCTTGAATATCTTATTTATTGCCCACACCCATAGGTTTGATCCTGTAAAATCTGACCCACAGATTCAGAAGGTGATCTGTGATTCCATATCTTGACATATTCAAAAGCATGGAGAAATATGATATGGGAGCCAAGTTGTAAGATCAAGTTCAAAGATTCGGTTAAGCATAGGTTAGATTAGATATCTCCTTACATCATGGAAACCAACAGCTTACTTGCGTCATCAAGAACAAAGATCTTATCTTGTCAGCAGAACTTGTTTACTTTCTTTCTCAACCTTTTTGTGGTCCTAAGAACACTCAACCATACGTGCACTTGATATATTTAGCTGATCTTAAATTTATTTAAATCCCTAGGTTAATTTCACACCATCATCTTAATATATCCGCGATTTTGATAGGCATCTCCTCTTCTCCAATAATTACTCAAGTTATCGCATTTTCTATGACTGAAAATAATTGTTGATGATTGGATTTCTTGAATTGTTTGTATAATAGTACTACCTCTGATCTAAATTACTCGCAACTTTGGAATATTTTATATCTCACAACCCCAAAGTTGCGAGTAATTTGGACCGGAGGTAGTATTTGAAATTTACATGTAACATTGTTACCAACATTTTAAGATACCAGAATTCTCTTAGGCATATTGTCACTGAATCTATAATTCATACATTGTCAACCAAAGTGTGGATATGCCACTTCCTCTGGTTTTTAAGTTCATGGTAAATCAATATTTTTCTTTTGATATTTCTTAATGTTGATACAACAGAGGTCCAGCTGAGGTTTCTGTACAAGCAGCAAATGAAGTACAGAACTCCTCTACCTATACTAAATTACTAATCATATAAGTCGATGTGCCAAATTTGATCATCCATGAAACAATTCGCTTCAATTGCCCAAATGGTTGGTCACCCTAGAATTTCAGGGGAATTAATCTTATGGTCCTGAGGCCTTCAATGTGCTTTCAGTCTGAAGACTCTCATTACCAACAGTTCCAACACCACTAAACAGGCACCTCAAAGAAAGCTCGTAGGCAGCAAAAATCGCTCCATTCACGACAAAAGCCCTAGCCACTGCAGTTCCTAGTCCTCTCCACAGAACTCCATAACCATCCTGCTTGACACTCTTCCTAAAGCAATCGACAATTCCACTGTATGTCATTGAAGCTTTCGTTTGTGCCTGGAGTCTAGTCTTGATCACATCTAATGGGTACAATGTGGCCCAGCTCGCAACTCCAGCTAAACCCCCAGCTACAAGCATTGTATTTAGGGACTCTTGGCCACTCTTTCGGCATCCAGGGTGGAGCTTTTCTCTCATGTACTCATATGTCCAGAAGTACAACCCATGAGCTGGTGCATCTCTGAGGGCTGTGATGGTTAAGCCATGATATAACCCTCTTAGACCTTCGTTTTTAAGTATGGTTTTGGCTAATTTTTTGGGACCGTTTTCAGTGTTTGATACCAAATGGGTGTTTTGCTTCAATTGAAGACGGATTTTTAGCAGCTCAACGGGGCTCAGTATAAGACTTTGGAGTGCCCCGGTGCCAAATCCTCCTAGGGCTACCCCCTTATACGAAGGAGGTTCTCTTGGATCGACAGATTTGTCACATGCTCGAGATAAGACTGCATATGTTTGGAAAACCATGGCATTCTGCAAATCAAAGGTAAGAAAGCACAGGCTTAAAAGATATAACCTATCAAGCAAATGCAAACAGGATGCTTAAAAGTTGAAGCATAAAATCACAACCACAATTGAAGCAAGTTTTCTCCAAGGTTATGATAGATCTACATATTGAATGCTTGAGACTATTTTTCTGTCAAATTTACCTTTTCTAATTGCCTGAGGATGTCACAAAAACACCAAGTGAGTCAGATAGACACATAGTTATGACATTATGGTGGCTGGTAGTATTCAATTCTATCAATTTCATAACCAAGAACTATGTTTGTTATGAAATTGGGTTGATAAAAACATCAAAACCAAGAACTATGCTTTGTTACTAGCCTGAAAATCAGGACAAAATGCACAACTTATCTATGCTACTCGGACTCATACATAAACATCCGTGGTGTCCCACACAGCCATAACTTCATAAACGCGCACATGTACAAGTGTCTAAGTGCACATGTGCGCGCTTATGGAGTCATGGCTTATAAGCTTTTTGCATGCTTCTTATTCAAAATGGAGTGTCTAAGTGTCATACCCACGTCTAAGGATCAAACATCCCAAGAATACAATTACACAAATACTTAAGGTGAAATAAAAATGGTACTCTAATAACTTGTCATGCATATTCTTTAGACATGAAAATACAATATACAGTACGCAATTGCTAAAACACAGGGGATTGGACCTTTTCTTTTCTTACCCAGAAACTGGCATAAGATTCCCAAAAAAACGGTGGATTCCCATTTCCCAGGATCAATTAGTATCCTAAAAGAACCATCAAAATAAGTAATTATCCCAAAACCAATAACAGCAATTTAATCAAAAAAAAAAAAAACTCCAAAAAACATAAATTAAATAAAGAAAATTATGCAAACCTGAAAAGTGACAGAGGCTAAGGGAGCAGCCATGCCTCTGTAAAAGGCAGAGGGTCCTTCGGTGGCAAGAACTCGCCGGAAAATACTGATTGCACCGCCGGAACTTGAGCTCTGTTGCCGGATTCTGAGCGTATCCAGCGGATATCCGGCGACAACTCCGGCGATTCCACCAAACCCACCTGCTATAAATTCTTTCCCCCAACTACTTGCTAAAAATTCTGGCCAAAAATCCAACTTTATCTCCTTTTGCATCCTCCCCCAATCCTCAAAAAAAAATAAAAATTAATCAATCCTCTTTTTTTCTAAGTAAAAATTCTGTTTTTGGGTAAAATCCTTCAATTAAAAGGTAAACCCAAAAGAAAATTTGAGATGATTATACTTGCTTTTGGGTTATTTTAACAAATTGCAGAATACCCACCTAATCAAAACACCCTTGTTTTCCTTGAAAATTTCAGGGTGTTTTTTTTAAAAAAAAAAAATTAATGTAATTATGCAAAATCTCTCTTTTTGCGAAATTAAGGAGGATACGGATAGGATTTTCAGATGGGTGTTTCTTTTCTGAGTTAATTTAACAAATTTAAGGAGCAATTTAGAACTTTCCCACTCTTTTTAGGATATGGTTTTGTGAATCTTCTCACTTTTATCCCAAAGATTCAAGCTTTTTATAAGAAATAAATTTCAATTTCAAGCGATAAAAATCGAGACATAAAATAATGATATTTATTGAGGGAATTGATTCAAAGAGGGAGAAAATTAATTGGGAATTTGAATTAAAAAGATGAAAGAAACAAAAAGTGATCACACGATACAAGTTTGTTGGGACTAGGATACTGCTCCAATTTAAGATTTTCTTATTTAAGTAAAATTGCACCACAATTTGTGGCACGTGGCCCAATTGTAAAAGACACGTAATATAATGGACCTTTAAATTCTTTGAAAAAATATTAATAAAGAATGACCATCACAAACTTTTTTTATTTGGTGATTGAGTTGGATGAGGAAGTACTAATGTAGGTTTGATATGTATGTGCAAATACATATCAAACATTAAAATATTGAAAAGTATTGTAAAGCACATGGGGGTGGGAGAAAAGGAGGAGAGAGATGGGCATGTGGGACCAGTTTTAAATGTACCACTGAAAGCTTATATAATATCATTGACTATGTAGTGATTCTATTTCTACACGTAGTTAGTACCACTGAATGAATATACAGTACCATTGAATGAATATATAGTACCACTGAATGTTCAATGATACTATTTGATCATCTAGTGATACTATTAATCACCCAGTGGTACACTTAAATTCAGCACATGGGGGTGAGAGAAAGGAGGAGAGAGATGGGTAAATTTCATGCGAAATGTCTCTTATGCCCCTTGATATGTATGTCCAGGTACCTATCAAACCTCCCTTTGGAAGGCCTCGAGTTGGATTGGGTGAATTGATGGGTTGATGATGACGAGATGTCATGATCTTGATTCTCCTTATTAAGTAAGCTACTCACAAATCTTTATTCCCCCCTTCAATTATATTCCGATAATGATTAGCTCTAAGGGTGAACCGGGTAAAATACCAAAAAAAAAAATGTTCCGATAATCATATTTCAATTAAAGTTATGTTTAGTACTACATACTCCGTATCTATTATGTTATCTACATGTCTATTTACATAATAGCCTAATAGGCATGTAGATAAGGGACGGAGGTAGTACATAATATTTCAATTAAAGTTATCTTAGGGCATGTTCTCATTAACTGAACTGAGTTGAGCTGAACTGAACTGAAATGAATATTTTATAAGAGAAGGAAATTAGGAGCTGAGCTGAACTGAACCGAACCGAACCGAACCGAACTGAACTGAATTTCAACGTAAGAGAACAGGCCCTTATAGTGTGTTTAATTTAATTAATTTTCACTTATTTGAATTTGGGAAAATACAAGTTAATCTGCTAGATAAACGAATTTTTGTTAATCTGATTGAAAATGCAGGGTCATTTATTCAGTATTTTTGGTGAGCTATCCAATTACTGTTTGCCTTTTGCTTTTACTGTTTGGTGAGGAAATTACACATGTACCCCTCAACTAGTACATGAAAAGACGCATATACCCCTCCACTGGTATTTGAAAAGACAATTATACCCCTAGATAAACAAATTATATTTCAAAGGTAGACAATTGTTTATCTGGGGAATTAACTGGGTATCCCTCTTTGAATTTATCTTATTTTATATGAACTATATAGACCTCTTTGAATTTATTTTAACTTGTTAGATTGTACGGAGTATTAAAAATTATTTTAGATCTAATATGAACATGGATTCCTTATCATAAACTAACTTTTCCTCAAATTATAAAAACTTCATCTACCTTTTTGTAAATCATATTTTAACTCTTAAATTGAAATATGATTATCTTTTACGAATAATTTGTCAAATTTTGAATCCAACGTATAAAATAAAGGCCAAAAAAGGTAAGTCGATAAGTGTAAGGGCATGTTCTCATTTACTAAATTGAACTGAAGTGATTGGAAATGAAGTGAATATATTTTATGAGAGAAGGAAATTAGAAACTAAATTAAATTAAACTGAACTGAAATTAAGCTGAATAGAACAGTCCCTGACACTAAATTATTTCAAACTAGGTTAGATCCCGTGCCATGCACGGTAATCTTTATATATAGTTATATATTATTGATTGATTAAGAAATATTATAATCATATATTCACTAGTAGAAAAATAGCAAATGGCACCGGTTCAAACCCGGCCTAAGACACCGGTTTGAACCGGTGCCAATGTGAGGGGTGCCAAAAACCCCCCTTGAACCGGTGCCATAATTGATTTTTGGCACCGGTTAACCGGTGCCAAAACTAATTTTTTTTTGTTGGGAATTAAAGTGAATTGGCACCGGTTAACCGGTGCCATAACTATTTTTTTTTTTTGTTGGGAATTAAAGTGAATTGGCACCGGTTAACCGGTGCCAATTCACTTTTTTTTTTTTTTTTTTTTTTTTTTTTTTTTTTAAGTATGCTTTATCCACACATTCAATCAGAGATATATTGATCAAAATATAATCAGAAACATATAACAAGCTTGAATACGAAATATAATCAGAAATATATTGATGATTAAATTGTTATTTTACAATACAAAAAAATAAAATAAATTACAACATCAAAATCCAAAAAAAAAATTACAACATCAAAGAAAAAAAAAATTACACATCGAACGAAAAAAAAATTTACAACAATAAAATAAAAATTCCAAAATCAACACTTTGATTCTTCACCTGCATCAATTAAAACACCGAATTAATAAAAACTCACAATAAACTTAAATTACGAAAATTAAACCCAGAAAATAAACCCAGAAATCACAAAATTAAAAGCAAGAAAATAAACCCAGAAATCCCCCCCCCAAAAAAAAAACCCCAAAAATACTCACGAACTGAAAATAAAAAAACCCAGAAACTCAAAATTATAAGAAAAATTGAAAAAAAAAAACAAAATCCCCGAATTACTTAACAAGAATGGCTTAACACAAGTACTTCATCCATTTTTTTTAACATGCATGTACCCAGAAAAATACAAATCCCCGAATTTTCTCTTTTAAAATTAAAACACCCACAAAACTCAAAAAAAAAAAAAAAAAAAAAAAAAAAAAACCAAAAGACACATGCATATACCCAGAAAAATCGATTAATTAAACACAAAATTAAACCCAGAAAAAACGAGAAAAATCGAATTAAAATACAAAACCGATTAAATTCGGATAATTATACCCAGAAAAATTGACAAAACTCGAATTAAAATCCAATAATCAATTAAATAAACCCAGAAAAATCGATTTAAATCCAAAATCAAACCCAAATTTAAATCCAACAAACTCGATTAACATCGAATTAAACCCATAAATAAACCCTAACCTCGAAGGATACCCATAAATTGTTGTTGATGATGATGTTGGTGGGCTTTGCGGCGGCGGTCGACCTTTGTGGTGGTGGCGGCGGCTTTGCGGCAGTGGTGATGTTGTGGTGTTGGGCTTTGTGGTGGTGGTCGAATTTGTGGTGGTGTAGATCAAAGAAAGAGAGGAGATCGAATTGAAGAAGCTAGGGAGAGGAGATGAAAGAAGATTGGTTGAGAGAGAGGAGATGAAGATGAATAAGGGAGATGAGAGGAGAGAGAAGGAGAGGAGAAGAAGGGAGAGAGGAGAGAGGAGGAGATCAGAGGGAATGAAATAAAAAGAGGCGGAGTGAGTCAACTTTATTTAGGGTTTATTATGTGTTGAACCGTTTTTTTTTTTAACATCTTATGGCACCATTTGTATTTTTGGCACCGGTTTGATCTGAACCGGTGCCATTTCTCTTTGTCTAAAAACCCGCCCATTTTTAGGCCGATTTTTGGCACCGGTTTGGCCTGAACCGGTGCCATTTGGGGGTTTCCTTTTTGTATTTTTCTACTAGTGATTAGTCAAGAAATAATAAAAGTATGTGACATGTTAATTTGATATTTGCAATTTTAATTGTAGCTTCCAATACACAACTAAAACAAAGTAGGCAAAAAATCCGAGCAATATTTTTTTTGGTATATATTGCCCAATTTTTTTTAGAAAGATTTGTGAATAAATCTTTTATTTTAAATATAATAATTATTACGTGGCAATATGGAATATGTACAAAAAAAATATGATTTTTGTAAATGATTTGTTTCCTTAATTAAAATATTTTAAAAAAATGAAAAAAAAACCTACCAGGAGATGACACGCGTCATCGCTGGTGTGTTTTTTTAGTATATAGCATTGATTTGTTGCTCTAAAAAATTAATAATAAAAAAATTATTTTGTATTTTCTACTCAGTAAGTGTTATACGTTTTGACACGTGATTTTAGGCAATTTTATTACCTTAAATAAAATAAGAAGGAAGTGATTAGCTGGAGTATTAAAAAATTGTAAAAAAAAAGTAGGGTTTATAGTTTATTGAAAAACAAAAAAATGTAAATGAAAAACAACACTACAGAGTATAATAATAATAATAATAATAATAATAATAATAATAATAATAATAATAATAATAATAATAATAATAATAATAATAATAATTTATGGGTTTGAATGGAGACCAATAAGAGAAGAATATATAACAAAGAGTATTAAAAAATACTCCATAATTTTTTGTGAATAAAATAAAAAGTGTAATTTTAAAAAATTACAATAATAAATTATACTTTATATTTGATAAATATAACACTTTAAAAAATACTCTACAAATGGGGAAAAAAATTCAATTGAACATGCCAAAAACGATTCATTTAACATTTCACGCAAAGCTAAGATGCTTCTATTAAAAAAAAATAAAATAAATAAAAGATGCTTCCAGAATCCCATTTAGATAAGGCCTTATGCTGATGCCACGATAACAACTCTATGTGATTAAAATGGATAATTATATAATGAAGTACAATTATCAACAACGGGGATCTGTGGCGCAATGGTAGCGCGTCTGACTCCAGATCAGAAGGTTGCGTGTTCGATTCACGTCAGGTTCAATATCCTGGTCCCAATAGATCATTTTTTTTACCTCCCTTCTAATTAACTTAGGGTGCGTTTGGTTCTCTGGTTTCAGGAAAGGGAATGGGAATCATTCCTTTTCAACCTGTTTGTTTGCCACTTTTTCCCTCAATCATTCCCCCATTTCATTTTTCAAAATACCCCAAAACCCCTCTTCCCCATTCCCCACCCCCCACTATCCCATTCCATTCCCCACCCACCCTAACCCTAACCCTAACACTAACACTAACACCCATATACGCCGGTGGTGGTCGGACGGCGACTGTCGGCGAGCACCGGGGAGTGGTCGGGGAGGCTCGGCGAGCACCGGGGAGTGGTCGGCGATGTGGTGCTGTGGTGGAGGAGGGAGATCGAGCGTCGGGGAGGGGGGCTGGAGCATCGGGGAGGGAGTTCGAGGTGGTGCTGTGGTCGGTGGTGGTCAGCGACCGTCGGCGAGGGGGGCTGGAGGGTCGGCGAGGGGTCAGCGACCGTCGGCGAGGGGGGCGCAACTGTCGGCGAGGGAGTTCGAGCATCGAGGAGGGGGACTGGAGCATCGGGGAGGGAGTTCGACGGTCGGCGATGGAGGCTAGATGGTCGGCGACGGTCGGCGGAGGTCTGTGAGGGTTCGGCGGCGGTCGGAGCTGCGCTGTGGTGGTGGTGGTGTGGTGGAGGGAATGATTCCCTGGTTTTTGTAACAAACAACCTTCCAAATTTTCCACTTTGCCATTCCATTCCATTTCATTCCCTTTGTTCATTCCATTCCGATTCCCTTCTGTGAACCAAACGACCCCTTAAAGTTTTAGCTCTCTTGTCAAAAAAAAAAAAACTTAGGGGATGTTTGGTATGAAAATTTATAACATAGGAAACGTAAACAAATAAGTGTTTCCGTTTCTATTAGTTTGGTATGAGCTATAAGTAACAAATACCGTTTCCAAAGGGTAACAAAATATCCCAAATTGTTACCCTTATCCAACTAGTGGAAACAAAATGTGTTTCCCTCCTCAATCATAAACTCCTCAATTTGTTTCCATTTTATAAAGATACCAAACATATATCAAAGGTAACGTGTATCATTAATTACCCTTTCCCTATCTTATATAAATCCTTTCCATTCTGTTTCGGGGTTTTCTGATGTCCTGCGGGAGAGTTACAACACCGAGACTGGAACCGGCCGCCTGTACCTGCAAAATAACGGAGACTCCTGGGAGCTCCGCCTCCAACGGTCAAGTTAGTACTTGTTTAAAGAGTAATAAGTGCGGAAATTAAAGTGATTTAGTCTCTCTGGGTGAGAGTGTTTAATGTATAATCCGTGTGTTATTCGAGTTCTCCCTCTTAATGAGGATTAAGAGGAGTATTTATATCCTCGGGAAGCGTGCCAGTATCTAGGTTTAGGGTAAACCTAGGGCTGACTGGGCCTCATAACAGGATTGGGCCTTGGTGGCCGGTTTTCCCATTTGGCATGGGTGGACACGTGGCGTGTCTCAATTGGTCCGCAGAGGACGCATCTGTAATTGACACGTGGCAGGCTCCTATTGGCCTACGTGAAAGACACGTGGCGGAACCTGGTTGGTCCACTTGTCAGACGGTGATTGGTGGATAAAAATCCCCTAATCACATTCCGTTTACGAAATTTATACCAAACGCCCCCTTAAAGTTTTAGCTCATTTGCGCTTTTTTTCTTCGGCTAAAAGAAATAATTAGTCATTTATTTAAATAACTTGAAGGTAGATAATTGATATTTGAAAAAGTTTTTTCATCCTGCTTAACTAAATGAGGTTGTTTTAGAGGGGACTCAAGTTAGGTGTTTTTTTTTTTTTTTTTTTTTTTTTTTTTGGCAATAAACATGCTAGTTGTGTTTTTGAGGGTGTTAAATAAGTCGTTTATATGGTGTTGGTTTGATTCAAATTAATTTAGAGTAATTTATTTTACTACTCAAAGGTACCATGTAGAAAAATCCAAAAATTCAAGGGTATAATGTAAAATAAACTAATAACTCAAAGTCACCTTCTAGAAATTTGAATTTAGGAGGGTACAAGGTAGAAATTTGAATTTAGGAGGGTATAAGGTAGAAAAACCCTTCTTCTTCTTTCTTTCTTTTTTTTTTTTAATAAAAAAAAATTGATTTTATTAGTTTATACATTTTTCTTATTGTTGATATGTAGAAATTTTCTAAATTATTGATTTATTGAATAATGTTTTTCCAACTTTAGATTTGTTGTAATATAAAAAGGAAATTTATTGTTATTAATAGTTAATGAAATATCATTTACATATTTATCCTTGAAAATAATAATTATTATTGATTTGTAAGATTTAGTAACATAAAAATAAAATTTTGGAAAGTAAAATTGCGGGAAATTATATTATCATAAAATGATCTGTGTCATTTAAGATTCACCTTTAGGGCCTGTTCCGATTGACTGAACTCAGCTGAACTGAACTCAGCTGAACTGAACTGAACTGAACTGAGCTGAACTGAACTGAACTGAACTTATTAATTAGTGATTTTTAACTACGGATTAGTGATCTTTGATTATTTATTGATTATTTATTACTATACATATGTGTATATACAAATGTACATATTATTATTATTATTATTATTATTAATATTATTATTATTATTATTAATTATTGATTATTATTATTATTATTTATTGATTATTATTATTAGTATTATTATTATTATTATTATTATTTATTGATGATTATTATTATTATTTATTGATTATTATTATTAGTATTATTATTTCAATTATTATTGTTATTGTTATTATTATTATTATTATTATTATTATTATTATTTATTGATGATGATTATTATTATTATTATCATTTATTACTTATTGGTTATTATTATTATTATTATTATTATTATTATTATTTTAATATTATTATTATTATTATTATTATTATTATTTTTAATATTATTATTATTATTATTATTATTATTATTATTGTTGTTGTTGTTGTCGTCGTTGTAATAAGAGCTTAAAAGAATGAAATTTGGCTTTATATCATTAGCAATAACATTAGACGTAAATTAAGAGCTGAACTGAACTGAACTGAATTTCAACGGAAGAGAACAGACCCTTAATATAGGTTTATTGATGATTGATTATTTCATACTTCCTCTCTTATTTTAGTGGAAAGTTGGTAAACGAGTATTTTCTCATTTTTAACTGCTTGAAAACTACCTTAACTTGGTTGAACAATCTGCTTGAGAAAAAGAAGTGGAAATTACTCTTAACATCGAGTAAATAGGTTCAAAATTTCTCAAATTTTGGTATAGTTGTTATAACAAGTTATTCAAAATTGAAAATGTGAGATTTAATACCACAAACATTATTTACCATCGAAGCCTTTCGCTAAGGGGTGTTTGGTTGGGCCTTTGAAATAAAGTAAATTCCTTTTCAATATTTGGTTAAGCATAATTTATTGTTTTTGCTATGAAGTCTCATACTAATGGTATCTAACTTCAGTGTCCATTCCAACTCCCTACAATCTCACATCCACCCCAAATATTTTGAGTCCATTCCACTCGAAATACAAACTCTTAACTAGTTGTAAATCCAATCTAATTTTTCTCTAAACAAGTTTAAGGCCCAGTTCTGATTTATTAAACTGAACGGAGCTTAAATGAATAGTTTATGAGAAAAAGAAAGAAATCAGGAAACGAAATAAACTGATTGGAGCTAAGCTAAACTGAACTGAAATTAAGCAAAAAAAAAAAACCTTAAGTGTTTAATTAGATTTAGGGTTCTCGATTCGTACCACCATGATATGAGTTTTCAATCCATTCTATTTCAGTTTGTTGAACCAAACGACCCCAAAGTAGAGTACCGAACAGAAGTAGATGTTATTTTAAAACTTATTTACACTTTTGCGTCGGAATGAAACTTAATTACGAAATTACTGTCCACGTAGGCTCGAAAAAGTTTTTATTTTATTTTTTTATTTTTCAAAGTAAAACCGCTACCTCAAGTAGCGATTTATGTACTAAAACCGCTACTTGAGGTAGCGGTTTTACCCTTCATAAATTGATTAAATGTATCTTTACTTAGAGTACTAATGACAAACCGCTACCTCAAGTAGCGGTTTGGTTTGTCTCTAAAGAAAAAAATTACCCCCAAACGTATCTCCAAACCTACGTGGACTATATTTTCGTAAATAAGTTTCATTCCAATGCAAAACCGTAAATAAGTTTCTTAAAAGCTATATTTTTGTAAATCATCCCACAACCAAACGACCCCAGTTCCTTAGTCAAGTTGCCAAGGGTTTGATTCGGTTTTACATTTAAGACAATTTATTAATTCGCAAAGTAAAAAACATAAAATCCCCAAAACAACACTAACATCATCTCTTTTTTCGCCTTTCACCAACCAACCACAAAACCTCTGCCTCAAACCCCAACACCCATTCACTCTTCCATTTCTAGAGAGAGAAAACCTCCGTTGCTTCAACAATGGCGTCGCTGAGTTTTTCAGCTTCTACTACTGCTCCCATGGCTTCCTTTCTACCTACACCTTCATCTTCAAGCGTATCGACTTCTTCTTCGTCGTCGTCTTCGTCTTCTTCAAGCAGTTTCAAGCTTACTGGGCCCAGATGTTTTCTCTCTCCTCTTTCTCTTACTCGTATTTCTTCTTCTTCTTCTTTGAAGGTGAAATCTCGTCGTTCTATGGTTGTTTGTATGGCTCCTGATGAAGAGAAGATGACTCGTCGCTCTCCTCTCGATTTTCCTATCGTATGTTCCTCTTTCTTTGATTAATTTTTGAATTGTGGGTAATATTAGAATTAGAATCAAATTCTAGGGTTTTGAATTCGAATTGATTTCATCATGGAACAATTGATTTGTTGTAATTGCTTTAATTTGTGGCATTTTCTGATGTTAATTGCTGCCCTAGTACTTTGATTTTGATGATGGATTGTTTTCACAATGTCAATCTTGTGATTTTAGGGAAAATAAGTTGAAATTATTGGTTTGAGAATTGAGAATATCATAAATCTGCACTTTTGGTTGCTGCTCTTTTTTCAGTAAGTCTTCATGATTAAAAATTTCTTTTTTAAGGTTCACAAAGCAATTGAAAGAATTTGAGATTATATTTAGAAATCTTAGAATTGCTGGATTTCTCTTTTTGAAGAATGGTTAAAGGATAAGGTTTTAGGTCTTAGAATTTTAGCAATCATTCATTTACCTTTGATTTGGTATTTTTCCCTTACCTGTTATCTAGTTAGGGTTGTGGCTAATAACTTGTTTAGCACCGTGCAATTATTGTCAATATTGTCTTACTTCGTAGGTTATAAGGACATCGGAATTGGTATCGTTTTATCGATATTCTTAAATTACAAATACTGTATTTCTTTGATGGGTTTAGGAATCAAATAGGGGATTACATTCAAACTATAAAACTCTTATACCTTCGATTTCACCCTGCCCTTGCTCCTGCCTCCTGGTGGGATTTGATACACTTTGGCAATTCTAGTGGATTGAAATGCCAATTTTAGACAGGGAGAGGATTTACGAAGGTTGCTCACTTGATTTGGTAAATTTGTTACTACCTCCGTTACATGTTATGTGTAACGATTTGACATAAAGCAGTACGGAGGTAGTACATATTTTTATACTTTTTACATTACAAACCAAACATAGGAGTGTTATTGCATTAAGTGAATTCTCAATCACTCACTCCCATTCTTTAGCTCCAATATCCTTTTAAAAATGCCTAGAATCTACTTTACAGCCTTCTGTACTTTCTTTTGTGGCTTGTGGAAAGGAGGAGGATAGGGTTGTAGCTTCAGTGTTTTATATATTTATATATTTATTTATTAAGCTTGTGTGCTCTTTTTTCGTACATTTTTTAGTCCTTATGCATCAAAGTTTGATCACACAGTCTTGAAAGTTTGTTTGAGGTGACTTTGGCAATATTGGCAGTCAGCCACTTAGGTATCTTAGTTACTAATTCTAAATCTAGCATTTTATTTTACTTGTCCCTCCCCTAAAAGAAGGATTTTCTTTGTTTGAGGTAATCCCGTGGTGATTTTGCCTTAGGAGAATGGGGATACTGTCTTTTGTGTCAAGGGGTGAGGAAGAATTTGATGAATAGAATAAGCCTAAGAAGACCTATGCTTCCTCTTGCTGTGTTGTTTTTTGTACCTATTCAGTTATTCAAATAACTAAGCAAATAAGTGATAAGTACATAAGCTCTAATTAAATTCCTTAGCTTCTGTTCGAGTGAAACTGAGAACAAAGGAGGAGTGTACAAGGGATGAGAGGGGAAGATGAATTAGAATACTGAAAAGGAAGATTCACTTTTATTACATAGTTCAAATGTGATGACAGGGAATACTTGGTGCCTACAGATAAGTGTTTTGAATCATCATTGATTCCAAGATGCTGTCAAAATATAAAGCTTCCTGATAATTTCATTTATTATATGGTATTGTGAGAGTAGTCATTGAGGCTTTTGAGCCTGAAGTTGGGTTAAAATGCAAATTAGGGCAATAGTATGAGTCTTGTTAAGGCAGTTATTTTTTTTTTTCTTTTTTTTTGTTTGTGTAGCTGTGTGAATGATGCAGGGTAAATGTGTTAATGGTGCAATTCAAATGGGTAATTGTGTAAAAGGTGTGACTAAAATAGATGCAAATCTCTCAATTGATCATATTCATTAGCATTTTTAAGTGAACCTAGACCTAGTCAAGGATGAGAACTGAAAATTGTATGCTCCAATTATGTCTTGTATATTTTTTTATTTTTTATTTACTAAAATAATACTATGTCAATCCATCCATGACATCACTGGTTCTAATTGCGTCGTTGAAGGGAAAATTGTCTATAACTTTCACATTTACATTTAAAGACTTGTTAATCACTGCAAGTTTAACATTTTGTTGCTTGACAGGAGTGGGAGAGGCCCAAGCCTGGGAGAAGACCTGATATATTTCCTCAATTCAGCCCTATGAAAACACCATTACCACCTCCTATGCCTGCTGATCCACCAGAGGAAGACGAGGATGAGGAAGAAAAGAAGGAAGAGGAAGAGGAAGATCCGGAAAAGGAAGAGCAAGAAAACCCAGACAAACCGCAGTGATAAATGAATGTCTTGCTATTAGGCAGTCATTACAATTCATATTCGATATCCTCAGTAGCATAGTCAAATGCATGGATCCTGCATATGACAGAGCTAAGGTTGGTATCCACATCAACTCTCTGGCTTAAGCACAAGAGTTTATGATGTCAATTTTTTCAGGTCCTGTGCGGGTTTAGTGCTTTCCTGGGGAGTTATCCTAATTTTGTAGTATTGAGGCGATTTTAATAGGTTTTGTAATGTTATTTAAGGAATAAGGATGGTTTCATTTCCTTGTAAGTTGCCTTTACTTCTCTAATTACATCTTATTTGGAGTAATGTAGTTGGCCATTATGTTGATACCGGTAATATATTGCACTTGTTTTCAGGCTTACGTAGCTTAGAGAAGCTTTATACTATACCCTCATTCCCTTCTGAAAGGATTTCATGCATCAAATTTCACATTGGTCATTTCAAATGTGTGCTTGTAAACCCATGACCCAACAAAATTTACAAATTTTTACCTACACGGCTACACCCCTATGTGGCTATGTAGGTAGTTTATCGATTTTATAGTTAAAATAATTGAGCACTTTTAAATAAAAGGACTACTGTTACATGATAAAATAATGAAATAATGATTTATGTAGTCGACTTTGGCCTATCAATAATTATAGTTTTCCATGCCTTATTGTTGTTGCTACTTGATATAGTAATTAACCATAGTATTAGCTCCATGGAAAATTGAAAAGAAGTTAGGAATATATGTATGTGAAAAGAGATAAGAAAACATACTAAAACTATATTGTTTATGTATGCCTGCTTCCCCTAGTTGGAAGGATCACCCTTTATTTTTGTAAATCCTAAATTTGGAAAGTTCCATGTTTTTACCTCTTTATTTCCAATCATTTTTTTTTTACCATGCATGTTACTATTATGTTACCACTAGCTTTTCATGTTTATGATACACTTATGTTTCACTTAATTTTCCACCCTCTCAAGATATAGTAATACTCCGTAATGTCTTTTGTGTGTTTAGGTTATTTAAATAATGAAACATATACTTGTAGTGTATAAAGCAGTATAACTATCCATCTTTTTTTAAAAATAAACTTATTCGACTCGACTACAACATTTTAAAATCAAACAATATAAGGCATTAAAGTCGAATAGAGCGTAATTAGTATGTAAAGAGGCTTGGATGATATTTGTTCTGTGGAAGACGATAAGCAAAGCCTCACCATAATTACATGTTATTGTCTCGTGCTTGGAATTTGGAGATGAATATAAGAAAGGCGTAAACCATTATCCTTCATCGATCAACTACCTAGTAAAAAAAGAAAAAGAAAAAAGTAGTGTATTATCTACCAAAATTATTAATTATAATTCATGTTCATGGTACATAAAAACTTATAAGGCTACATAGTTATTAAAAAGTGTTTATTGTTTTTGTCAAAAAAAAAAAAAAAAGTTTTTATTGTGTATACAGTATACCAAGTCTTCTCATATTTGGTTTTAATTTTCTATAACATGCATATGTTATATAATGTTATATACTACCTCCGTTAATAGTTATCTGCAATTTTTGGGTATTATTTGTAAAATATAAAACATTCCAAAGTTAACGGAGGTAGTATCTCTATATGCTAATTATTGCTACCTAGAAATTAGGTAGCTTAGCTTTTAACTAGTTATGTGGCTATGAGTATGATTGTATTGATTGTGCTCTTTAATCTTGCTCATCTTATTGTCTTATTGTTTCTTAAGATATTCTAATAAATAATCACAACTTTCTCGATCACATTTTCATGATACAAGACTACAAGCTACGAGTATATAATTTTGAACCCAAAATACAAGTTAATATAAAAGCAACTTTTATTTTTGAACGAAGGTTGATGAAACAATACAAGGTACTTTGATTCTTCTACTAACTATGACTTGTTGCATGAATAGAAATTGTGTAATTAGTATGACTTGTTGCAATATAGGTCCTAACGTACTAAGGTATAAGACTATTAGTTTTTTTTTAAAATTTTTTTTGCTCATTGGTATAAGATTATTAGTTACGCGGAGCATAAAGTTGTTAACCCAAAAATTACGCGTTGAAATAATTACTTTTACTCAATTTTGTTTTAATTTAATTGCATATCTCTTGAGGTTTCAAAAAAAAAAAAAAAAAATGAAAATTGCAGATCTCTTGACCTCTTTGTTTGACCAATTTTATAATGTCAAAAAAATATATTCTGATAATTTATCTAATTTTTCTTACCCTTAGCATTAAGGACTTGTCTTAGAGCACCAAAAAAATTAAGGACTTATTTTACCCTTAACTCTATAGTAATCCTGGGCACCGTGCCGTGCCGGGCCGCCGCGGGCCGTGCCTGACGGGCCACGAGCTGGTTCGTGCCGTGCCGGTCGTGCCGGCGGGCCCAGGATTTCGTGCCGTGCCGTGCCAGCCATTTTCACAGGCCAGCCCACGGCACGGCACGGCCCTCGTGCCTGGCGGGCTCGTGCCGTGCCGGCCACGTGCCGGCCTGCGCGGGCTGGTGCAGTTTTCATTTTTTTTTTTTTTTTTTTTAATGACAACATTATAAATTAATAAGTTTATAATGTATATAAGTTATAAAATTATAATTATAAGTTTTATAAGGTAACTTATAAGTTTATAACTTATAAGTTATAAGTTATTAAGTTATGAATTTTATAATTATAAGTTGAATATTTATGTTTTATAATTTGTATATTCAATATTTATATTTATATATTTACTTTATACTATTACTTTAAAATTTAATGTTTATGATTTATTAGTAATTGGTATAATTTTTTTTTTTTAATATGAATTTACAAATTGTAACAAAACGGGGAAAAAAGGCAAATTGGACTTTGGATGTGAATAATGCGTACTTTATATTATTATTACTTGAGTTGAGAAAATTGTACAATGATAACAATGATAAAAATCATACAATGATGGTATTAAACAAAAATTGGAAAATGATAAAATTGATATTTTTAAAATCGTACAATATACAATAATTGTCTATTCTTCTTCTCCTTCTTCTTGCTCGTCTTCGTCTTCGTCTTCGTCTTCGTCTTCGTCTTCGTCTTCGTCTTCGCCTTCAAGGTCATCGGCTAGTTGCATAGATTGGGAACTAGCCGAACCCGAACCGGAAGCGGAGGTTCCTTCTTCGTTGTCGTTGTGGTCGTAAGAACGGTCTTGTGAGCGATTTTCCGCATCCAACCAATCTTTGAAACACACGCACATTTCTAGTGTTTCGGGTTTTAGACTTGTTCTTCTATCGTCTAAAACCCTTCCGGATTCGCTGAAAGCTCGTTCGGAGGCGACGGAGGAAACTTGGATAGCAAGAATGTCTCGTGCCATTGCCGCCAAAGTTGGATGCTTCGAGCTTTGTTGTTTCCACCATGCAAGGAGGTCGAGGCTGTTTATCTCATCGTCGTCCATGCCTTTGGTGAAGTCGTAACTCAGGTACATCTGCAACTCCGAGACGTCGCTTTGCGTTCTCCTGATTGATGAATCACCTGAAAACCTTGAAATCAAGTTAGTAGCTTGTGAAAATAAATGTTTGGCCTTCTTACTTACGTTTTTGGATGGTTGGGAAGGCCCTGAGCGAGGAACGGTGCCATATTTGGCTTCATAGACTCTATATAAAGCAAAAAACTGATCCTTCACATTAGTCTTATAGTTTTCTACATCATCGTCAAGAAACATGCATTGAAAGTAAATGTCAACTAACATAAATGTGTTTTCATACTTTTGCCTAGGATCTAATATGGAAGCAAAAATATAAATCAAAGGAATCTCACTATAATATTTACGCCACTTTTTTTCCATTGCTGGAAGATACCGATCATAATCACTTTGATCGCGATGATCAGCGAAAAGTTGGGCGAGTAAGCATGCATTAGAAAGAAAGTTTTGAGCACAAGGATTGTAAACAGTAGAAAAACAATACGTCATGTTATATAATAACTGTAAAAATTGCATATATCTTTCACAGTTTTTCCAATCATCATCATACAAAGCATTTTGTGGAAATTTTTGGTTGTAAAATAATGTTAACGGGCCCTTGTACTCAATTGCCTTTGTTAACATGTCATAGGTGGAATTCCACCTAGTTGGGCAATCGGTTCTAATTTTTATTACCCTTATCTTTTGTTGTTTTAGAAAACTCTTCCATTCTTGGTATCTCATGTTAGAGCTATTAATAGACATAATAGCATCTCTGATTTTGCTGTAGTATGGGCCAATTGCCCGAACTCCATCCTGTACACATAAGTTAAGTACATGGCAAACACATCTAGTATGAAGAGCTTCACCGTCTAATAGTACATCGGTTAAGTTTTGTTTGATAAGATTAGCTGTGTATGTCATAGAGGTTGCATTATCAAAAGTCATAGACATCATTTTATCTCGAAGGTTGTATTCGTCTATTGCTTGCATTAAATGGTGAGCAATGTTAATGCCGGTGTGTGGGTATTCCAGCATTTTGAAATGTATTATTCTTTTTTGTAACATCCATTGATCATCTACCCAATGGCAAGTCACACATAAATAGTGATATTTATAACCACTATCCCAAGAATCGGCTGTTAAAGATACTCTACAGTTAAGGTTACTCAATTCGGCTTGTAACCGGACTTTGTACTCTAGGAAATTTTTCATTGCGGCGGAACGAACGGTTTTCCTAGAGATTCTTTTATGTTGGGGTTGTAGTGCTTTGTTAATGTAGGTGTTGAATGCGTCACTTTCCGAGAAAAGAAAAGGTTGTTCGGCGTGTACTATCATTTTTCCTAGTTCATCCCTATCCCTCTCATAGTTGTATGTAAAGCTGTATGGATGGAATTGGGAAATTTTGGGCTGGGTTGGATTACTAGCTGGTTTTGCACAAGCTTTCACGTGTCTAGATAAGTGTCCCGTCCCGTTTTTGGTAACTGCCGTGAATACACTATTACATGTTTTACATTTTGCCCATTGTTCACCATCTTTACTTAGGACAAAATAACGCCATACCTCACTCCTTCGGTTTTTCAAAAGTAGCATCTCAGTTTCGGTTAACCATTCATGATGTGTGTGATGGTTAGTAGTGGGACTAGTGGGAGTGGCAGTAGAAGGGGTAGAACCGGAGGGAATTCGGGTACTTTCTTGGCTACCTTGGCTAGAACAATAGTTTTGTTGATTACCGATATAATTAGGTGGAAATTGGTATGGTGGTAGTGGAAATTGGTTTAGTGGTGGTGCTGGAAATCCCGACGTATTATATGGCTCATAGCCCGGGGGGAAGTAAATGGGGTCATTGGTTTGACTCGTAATTTGGGGGCTCGTTGTATTTGGTGGTTCCCTAGAACTACTACTACGGATAAGTCGGC